CAACAAAATCTATTAACAAACAAAATGAATACCGATGGGATCACCAATATCAAAACATATTGCAGAAGCAGTGATACGGAGACTGGAAACCTCGATCTCACCAGTGATCAAGCCAAAAAATTGGTTTCGTTGTGTGGACAATATATTCGTCATCGTCAGAAAGGACGGGCTGGAAAACACCTACAATCTGATCAACAGCGCCTTCGATGTCACTAACTTCAAAATGGAACAGGAGACAAACAACAACCTACCATTTTTGTACGTATTAATCACCAGAACTGACACAGGAAAACTGAAGACTCAAGTATATCAGAAGTCCACTTACGCAGATCAAATGCTGAATTAGAATGGCAACAACACAAGAGCTCATAAAATCAACTGCGTACAAACTCTGATAGAGGACGCACAACAACACACTTGCAGCTCGGAAAAGTGAAGAATCATATCAGAAGAACGGCTGCCAAATCAACTTCACCAAAACGCAGCAGCAGAAACGAAATCAAGTACGGAAAATAACAAACGAATCATCCTACCATACATAAAAGGTATATCAAAAATTACGAGATCTTTGAAGCCAACAAAATCACTTCAATCAATCCTATGCAAACCAAAGGACGAAGTGACAGAAGATGGAAAACCGAGCACCGTCTACAAAATAAATTGTCCCAACTGCGAAAAACACCAAATCGGCCAAAGCGGACGCTCTCTTCATTTTCGCTTACACAAACATCAACTATCGGTAAAACGCCATGACATATCCCCACTTATATCAGTGCATATGGACAACTGTGGACATACACTCGACCGAAAAAATGTTAAAATTTTGGATAGAAGCAATTTTAAAAACATCGGAGAATTTTTAAAATCTTGGCACTCAGCAATTAACAAACACATTGAGATCGATCCAATTTGTCAACCAATTATAAAAATTATGAGCAAATATAGGACCAAAAATCAAACCAACGGGAGATATAATCAAAACAAAGAAATAAGCTATGACAGGTTACAGTTCAACAATAACAAACCAACATCGAGGTCTACAGGACAAGCTGTGAGCCATATGTGGAGAAATTCGAATACTTCACTCCCACTCTAAGTTTGGGCTGATAATGAAAGCTCCAAGACCAAACCATCCAGCTTAGAGAACAAGACTCCATCAAAACCAACCATCTGAGCTACAAATATTCTCTGTCATTTCATCAATAAACCAAGGCATATTAGATAGTAATACACACCACATCGAAATATAACTTTTTGATCATAGGTATCATTGTTTATGCAAATGAAACACCGTTTGAATTCTCGAGGATTTTTCTACATTCGATCTCGTAGATAGTTATGTGTATGTTTCTTTCTCAGTATTTCATTCTTAACTTTCAGGAATACAGAATGTCATTTTCCGTCAGTGAGAGAAAAACGCTCTTCAATCATAGTAACTGGATAAGTAGATCTAAACGCTAATGACTCCTATTCTTCACATTTATATTATGTCTTTCTAATGAAATAATCAACTAATCCTCACAGCATTCCTATTTATTTTCAGTTACATACAGTAGTATAGAAATTCCTATTTGTGATTTGTTCGTTACGTTTTTTTTGAAAGAAATATATTTATACTTGATATATATTTGTTTCAATTGATGAGACGCTCATCCAAATTATCTCGATTTTGTTATTAACGAAAATTGAATCAAAATACCATGAACTAAATCTCACAAGACTACCGTATCCCAGTAAATTACATATGTATAAAATAAATACACAAATAGTTATGTAAACACAAAAAGAACTGGAGATTCTATTGGTACCTGTAATGTGTGCTTGCATAGTTCTCCTTGAAATATGAATAGTGCAAAACAAAAACGTAATTTCATGCCACATATAACCTTAAATCTAATGAACAAAATAAATTTTGATGGGTATACAATAATGATAACTCAAGTATAATCACTGAATGATGTGGCTTCATTTAAAACATATTTCTCACATTGACTACAGTTAATATTAGAAGTGACTTCGTGACAAGGATAAACAATAGTTGACATGAAAGCATCCGAATTGTGATCAACATCGAGCTCATTTAGTACTCGTGCTACGCACTGAACAAGTTCCCCACATGAAACACATGCATCATGAGGACAAATAATATTTGATATGGTATCAAGATTTGGTTCTTCTGAAATACTCTTCTCAATTTTATTAAGAATGTCATTGCAGCGTGATGGAACATTAGAAAAATCAGAATCTATCAAAACTACATCAGGTTTTCGATGATGATTAGGTTCACTCCACATATTTTCCTCAGATTTGTAAGGAATCTCACCAAAAATGTGTGAATCATTAGGAAAAACCATATGTGGTGCAATAACATGAGATATATGATAAGTTGATTGATAAGAAACTGTTGTGTCACAAGGATTCTGAGTTTCATTTAACTTTGATCTGCTATGTGACTCTATACCACTTTTCAAAGTCGTGGATAAAGATAAATCATCGCTAGAAACACCCAATTTAATAGGATCACAACTACAAATTTCAAAATGAATTGCAGCGGAATAAACTGTAGTATGACAAACTGACTAAATGTGTCCAATTTCACCACATTTAAAGCATTTAGAATTACGAAATACACATGAATTAAATGAGCGCAACCTGCCACAGGACAAACACTGACCAAACTTTTGCCCATCTTCGTGAACTGCATCACAACTCCTCGATGAACTATCTACAAAACCTTGAGTACGCTTTAGATTGGGATAACGTAGTAATGTAGTGGAATTTTTGATGTCCTGATGAATTATTTTATGAAATCTTCCTTACCGCACTCGAAATTTGTATACTTAACATAGTCTAGCAGTAGTTCCTTGAGAGTCGCACAAGGAAGTGAAATAGGCTTTTCTGGTAAAGCCAGAGTTTTTGGTAAGCTGTAGGATTCTTTACCGACGAATGCAAGGAAACGTGCCACAATATTAACATCTTCTTTGGTTACAGCTCAGATTTTGTACTTTTCCAAGTAATCCTTAAAAGCATCAAAATTTGAATGTACGTCTAATCATTACATCAGACTCCATCGCGACGCCAATATGATAATTAGGAGTATCTGAATTTACGGACAAAACAGGCAAACGATAATAACCGTCATCAGTGTCAATTTCGGCTTAGAAAAATCCAAATAACGAGTCCCAACAATCATAAAACCTTTGTTCAAATGGTTTTGGAAATACTTAACATCATGTATTACTGTTACTAGAATACCTGAGAGCTTAATTTTCCAGAAAATACGAGAATTACCACACTTGTTGCTACAATACAGCCTCAGAAAGATTACGTTTCGAAATACTGTGGATCAACTAAGTGATCGGAATTGTCCTCAGAATGTGATATGATTGATTGACTGTCAACCAATTAGGAATCATGTGTCGATCGGCATAAATCTGTAGACAAAAAATGGATCCAGTATTACAAATATCTCTGTACTAACCGTTCATTTAAATTTTTTACTAGCTAAATTTATTTGAATATGACTTTCGGTAAATAGTAGTGGGATCGGTAACGACATCAAACAGATACACCGGAGTAGCGCAACTCATAGCATCTTCTAAACAAGGCTTGGTTAATGATACTACGTAGTGTATACAATCAGAGTTGTATATGGAAAGCATTTATACGCCAACTAACATTATACAATGTGTACATATACAAAACAAAGCATGTTACATAAACCTCAATGTTTCAGAGTTTCGTTAGTTAAATCAAGTCTAACAGGTAATTTCATAAGTCACTTTCAGAAAAACTAACAATAATGAACGACGAAAATAGTAGCTGGAAAAACTGACCAATGATAATGTAGTGCTTTCATAGCAATAATTTTAAAGCAAGACAAAGAGAAAAATAAAAGGTATGAAAAGTATCCAATCAAAAATGATTACTTTAATTATTTCATCATTTCAAAAATTACACCCAGTTCATTTACCAAATAGGACAATGCCAGCGTAAAACTTAACGAAGCCACCGTAAACTTAGTCATATAGTAGTCTTAAACGTTAGCAGTTAAGAAATAATATAATTAACTCCTTCACCCGGTATTTGGATATGAGCAATACTTAAAATATGATGGTTAGTGATACTACCCGGTTGCCCAAAAAGAAGTAGGTTAGAGTATGGTTTGAACCTATAATTTAGTGATTGAAATCAGATAGTCTGAGAGAAAACCAAAGATCAGAAGTAATAAAATTTTCTTCTTATATGAATATATTCATAACCTTAGAAAGAATTTGATTATGTTAAAATATGAAGAAGTTAGAAAGAAAAGGAACACCAACTTGGGAACCACAGATATATTACTTGCTTTGGAATCATACATATAGTTCATTAAAATTAACATATAAAGCTTTACTTGACTGTAAAAGTTAAAAATATTTCATATATTCTACAAAAGCGATAAATTTTAAACTAAATGGATACAGAAAACCCAATTATAATCATAAATATCTATCTTAGCAATCATAATAAATCAATTAGATGAAAGTTAAATGCCTAGCAATAAAAAGCAAAGTCAATGAAAATATGAGAGTCAAATAGTGATAATAATGATCATTATAGTTATTATTATAACTGGCACCATTAGAACTCAACCTGACGACCGTATAGTGAAATTAAAATTAAAAATTAACATACAAAAACAAAGCGATGTAAGAAATGAGTAGAGGTATTATATATATATATTAGCGATTGAGGTGTTTTCTGTGTCAATCCATAGGTCACAATTTAAAAATCATCTATCGATATAAAACTAAGGAAAACAAAATGTATAAAGTATAAAATAAATGAGAGCCATCAATGGCAAAGAATAAATGCATTTGTATCGGTGGGTCTGTTGAGTCCATTATGTAAAAAAGAAAGAAAAATGACCAACAAAAAATCCATGACAATATATGTTCCAATAATATATGAAATGATAAAGAGTGTGAGAGAAACATTTACATAAACATTAATATATTCTAATTTCCTGTATTTATAATAATACTACTTGTATCACTGGAGACAATTTGTTCTGGTGTTTTGTGATCACCACAAACAGGTATTTCATGAGTGTTAGATCTGTTTGACTGTTGTTGTGCATTATCTTCATCGTCTTGTTCTGCTCCATCACCCTCTTCCTCTTCCTCTTCATCGTCGTCGTCATCATCATCATCATCAACATCATCTTCATCTCCATCATCATCGTCTCCATCACCTCGTCCTACTTCATCATTTGAAATTTGACTCGCCTCACCTAACTCCTTATGATGTGACTGATTTTGTAAACATGGCAGTATTTCGTTTGATTTCGTCTGATCGCCAACTCGAGCACGTTTGGTCGCCACATACAATCCAGCTTTGTATTTCTCCATATCCTATTTTTGAAGAAAAATACAAATATGGAAGAGTATGGTGGATAAAGTATTTCAAAATGCTTTAAATATAAATGTAATTCATTTTATATGTAACAAAACAGTTAAGCAATTAGTTTAATTTCATGAGTATTGTATAATTTCTTAGTCCTATTCCCCTAGAAAGGTAGGTTGAAAAATAGGTAAGAGCGAGGGAACAAAAATATGGTATCACTACATAGGGTCACTGATTTTTGGTTTGAGTTCTGTGTAGACACAAACTTTCAGGTTGAAATTTATGAGATTATCGCAATTTATGATTGTATATCTTTGTTGACTTCATTAAGGAGATAGGTCACAGTGACAAAGGTGCACTTACTGTTTATTTTTATAAAATTTTAACCCTATTATTTCTGAATGGTTTTTATTACCTGTTCTCATTAGGTTTTAGCGATAATTTCGATGTCCAGCTATCATGTTTAGTCTTCTGTTTTCAACTTATTGTTGATTTCACTAGCTCATGCTCATATGAAGTGTATTCTTGAATCTTAACACATTTCCGCTAGTTTCAAGGTGTTTGTATCTCTGTATTTGATTGTCTGTCCTGTTATTCAACTTTTGGGAAATATTATCATCATAGATTTATGTACTAATCTTCGAGCCACACTAACTTTATGATAGTTAAGTACAATACTTGGTTCAAAAAGTGGAAGTCAAACATCTGAATCACTAAGTCTTAGCTTTGCAGTAGTATTTATTTACGATAATCTCCAGGATATAAAAAGCTTTCCAAATACTCTACTGTTATTAACGAATATCAGGCCTGTATTTATATGTAACGAGAACACACTGGATCGATGCACATATGCATCACATGCTATGCTGCTTATGGCTGATTAACTCCCAAATGTTTATTATTAGACTGATTTAAATAAATTCATAAACTTTTCAAAACATGGGTGAATAGGTGACCCGAAACACCACTTCTGTAACTCACTTGTTCATAACGTAATTTATCATTCTGTGCGCGTCTTTCGTATTTCTCTTTGTCGGAACACTCTTCCCATCGTCTACCTAACTCCTTGGCGATATCACTAACCTTCCAATCGGGGTGCTCACTACGAATCTTTGATCGAAATGCATCGCAAAAAAAGAAAAATGCAGACCATGAACGTTTAGGCATACTTGGATCTTTGATACGTCGCCGTCTACGACCTCGCTTCATTCCGACTGGTGGTACATAATGAGCCATTTCCCTATTGAATCGCTCCGTATCTAATTTTGCCATTTCTTCAAAACATTTTCGTTGTTCCATATTCATGAGCTGCACAATAAGGAAGAATTGATCATGAGACAGTAATAATGCTTTTTAATTCTTCATACCTTCCACTTTTCTGCACACTTCTTAGAAAATTCACTGAAAATAACATTCTCTGTCGGATGTTTTTTTCGATGTTCCTCACGTATTACTTGCACGAAACATGCATATGGTGTCATCGGTGGTTTAGGACGATTCTTATCTTTTACCATCATTCCTTCTGGTGTAGAGTGAACCTCTAAAATATATGATTAAAAATGCACGGCATTGTGATTATTCAGAAAACCATCACAGAACAAGATAATAAAATTTAGTTTGAAAATAAATAACTACTTGGGATATTTCGCAAAACTAAATATAACAGACGAAAGATAATTCTGAACCCAAAAGAAAAAGAACTTGTTAAACTGTTTTTAAATGCTATCATATCATACAACCGAAAACTCAGTAGCTTCAATCAATAACATAAACTAAAAGCTAAAACTGCAATCATTCTACTCTACATTTTATCTGCAAGTTGACATGCAGCTCTATTTATTTATTATTTAAACACATAAACAGTGGTTTAAGGAAAGACAGAGAGTGTATACACCGACGCCATTGTGATCGATTCTGAGCCATGTCACCAAGAGTTTCCAACCATTGGTTACGATAGTCACGTGGACCCCAACCAAGTAGTCTGTATCTACCAACAGGGCTCAAACCAGAAGTTAGTGTCTTCAAGCACTGATGCCACGTTTTGGTTTGGCCACTCCTAACTTTCTTCAAATCATACACAACACTGATCACCATTACACGTCGTGGTAATCGGTGTTCAGACATACGCAACACGTGGCCCAACCATCTTAACCGATGAAAATTCACAACCTCATCAACTGATAACACCTGCCAGGAGCTTGCAAGATTTTAGATGTTTATCCACAACCACACTCAGTATGACCTTAAAAGATTCACCATATACCTTGCTAATTGTCCTCAGCACCCTCCTCAATACAGCAAAATCTCTTCGCAGAAGCCCGGGAAAGAATAAGGTGAAAAATAAAGAATAATAGGTAACATGAAAAATTTACAAATCGTAAATGTTGAGTGATGCCAAAAGCATGTAACATATTTTTATATACATCAGACGGAAAACTTTCTTCGACAACAATAAAACATGGGTAGACCAAGAGATCAGAGGAGAAACTTATACCAAGACAAATGACTTTTGACACTGTTTTCATTACAGAATCACCAGTAGCACAAACTCTATAGGGTTCAAACAGGGTGTTTGAAGGCTGTTCATGTTTCAGACTAAAATTAACAGCTGGACGTTTAGAAGGATTAAGTATGAGACCATTAACAACAGACTATCGTTCAATGAGAGACAGGAACTCATTTGTTTCGAGGGGATGTGGAGGTGAAAATCTGTGTCCATACAGTGAGATCATCAGTATACTTAACAAGAATGATTTCTATAGGTGGTATATCATGCAAACAAATGTGGAGAGGAAAAGATAGTTTCTTGTGACCCAACTTAACATAGTAAAGACTTTGAACACTCTTCCAAGTACAGTGTGAGTTTTCTTCAAGAGAATTAAGAGCGATACCAGTTGTCGGTGTTGATGCTAGCAAACTTTTTCATTAGCAGTGGTCTTAGGATAGTCAGAGGCAGAATTATAATTTAGAAATGAACAACGAACATAGTTTCTACCATTTACCCAGCTGAACACTATTATGACGCAGAACAGAAGCGTATAAGGTATTTCTTTTGCGTTTGTGAGCAAACTTGTATAGACCAATATTCTCTCTTAATTCAGATTGAAGTGCAAGTAGCAATAGTTTATCTATTGTTTTGAGAAAAAGTGAAGTTATTGCTATGGGTCTACATTTAGTACTTTTTTTTTCAAATAAGTGGGAGGTATAAAAACCCATGGCAAAAACATGATTTAAAAGTGTACTAGCTACAAACCCCAGTGCCTTGAAACAGCACCGTTTATAAAACTTTAGGGGAAATAGCAATCAAACACACTGCAGAATGTCAGCATGAACTACGTGGTGTTCATGACGAATGTGGGTAATTCTTCGGAGGTAACAATCATAATACATCACATATAAACACCTGAGAGATTAGGTTTCGCAAATAAATGACCGCAACCCAAGTAAAATTTAGCCAAACTAAAACTTTCAACATGTGTAGGAGGGAACTGAGGTGGTTTAAAGATCACAGGAGTGACACTTGTTAATTTCAAAGACAGAATAACAAAGTACTCACTAAACAAAGGTTCTATATGAAAAGAACTACTTTAAAAGATCACGAAACTTATTCAAAGGGGGTGCATAAGCAAACTTAATAAGAACTGATTAACTTTTTGTTTTAAGAATGCCTCTGTGACATGTAGCATCACTAGTTACGCACTGCCTAATAGTCAACCCAGTAACCAGACTATCTAAGCAGACTGGTGTGAGTGGACCCACTTAGGGCTTTCGGAATCGCTACAGTAAATCGTGCCATCATAATAAAGTATGCTTTACAGTTTGCTTACAATATTGTAAGCAGTATATACTGCGGATCCGCAGTAATCGATTAATCCGCAAATTTGAGTGCTCAGAAATCATGAAGAAAACACCGCTACGAAAACCGAGAGAAGAACTACAGAAATAAAACGGCTTTTAAAAATGTGTGATGAAATTACCAGTAACTACACCTTCATACAGATAAATATATGCGGGTTAAATTTTCGCGAGGCTAAGTGATCTGAAGCGATTTAGACAATTTTCGATGCCAAACCACGAGTTTAAAGACACAAAGCTCTTAGCAGCCTTAACAAATGTACTACATTAGTAAAAACCATACATACATTCTAATTTTACTTGTTTTCTATTGTAAACAATCCATCCATAATACCTGCTCTCTGATTGGCTAATGAACAAAAATGTCTCAAGGTCACTCGGCGTAGTAAGTTGAGTTTCTGGTTACTTTTAACATTCTCGATATCTAATAAGTGGTTCATGTAGGCCAATCTCAGTCATTTTCCGCTCATCCAGTCGGTGATTACTGGTTATAACAGCAAAATTTTCATATGGGTTTTCTGTAAGGCATGGGTTTTCTGTCCTACAGTGAGGAGTTTATAGATGACAGCTACAGAGATCTCCACATGCTGTGAATGAAATCTTCGATGAACACTACTTTTTGATATCGAATAAGCGCCCACCAAATAAAGATGAAAATATACCGGCATGTTATCAAAGAATCACACTGAGGATGTCTCAGATAAGTTCTACATCCTTGTACTTTAGTTTCTGGTGGTAAATCAGTCTCTAAATCTTATAGTTTCAAAGATGCTACAAGTATTCAGAGTTTGACAAAATTTTAAACAGTAACATTATTTATAATTGTAGCATGCCGACCCAGTGAAATCAGAAGGCAAAAACCAAGAGGTCCAAAGATATATTTGATAAAACATCGATATATCAAGATGTGACTAATCTAAGCTGGCGAGTGGTCGTAAGAGATGTGAAGCAAGAACTACCCATTCGTGATTTAGCTCGGATACGTGACCTGGCGTCTCCAAATAGGTGAGTTTATTAAATGTGATGTGGTCAGCATCATGCTATCATTACTTTCGTTCCTGTCGATGATGTATTACTTAGGTTACGCTGAAGAACTTTGAAGGGTCCTTCGCATGCCGTTTCTAGAAGTTGTCGAAGTGAGTCACGACTCACGAAGATGTACGTACTGTATAGTAAGGCAGGTTGAACGAAAATATCAGTTGACTGTGGTCGATTGGGAACACGTTTAACTAAACGCATGGTGTTTTTGAGCCTATTCGTGTAGGAGTTTAGATCCATATTCCTTGAAGAAGGCAAGGGATCCATGAATTCTCCTGGAAGTCATAGCATCTTTCCACAAATTAATTCAGCTGCAGTGTACCGAATGTCAGCTTCCATCGAATTGAGAATACCAAGTAAAACAAGTTGAAGGGCGTCGGTCCACTGTGAAATTTTTGCAGCTGTGAGTGAACCTTTAAGCTGTCAGTAAAAGCGTTCTACCAACCGTTTGCTCATGGAAAATAGACAGTCATTCGGAATTCTGTGATTCCTAGTAGTGTATTTAGACAACGGAAAGGTTCACTACTGTCTGTAGTGATAGTTGAAGAGCAGGCTAAGTTTGCTACCCATCGTTCTACGAACGCTCGTATCACTATTTCAGCAGTAATGTCCTTGATGGTTATTTCTTTTAGCCATCGAGTAAACGGTCTACACAGTTTAAGGGATAAGAGTAAGCATTTAAATCTGGTAAAGGTCCTATAAAATCTTGATGAACGTGGTCGAAACGAGCATCGGGAGTTTTGAAAGCGCTTGAGGAACATTTGTTGTGCTTAATCACCTTATATTTCTGGCGGCTTACACAAGTGTGCCCACTCTCTCACGTTTCTACTCATACCAGGCCAGTAAAATCTTTCCAACATGAGCTTGATGGTTGCACGAACATCCGGATAAGAAAGTTTGTGAAACGTACGAAAGACGTTCTTTTGACAATACTTTGTCACAATCGTACGATCCCTACCTGTAGATGCTCCGCATGGTAAAGTTTTTTACCTATCCCTCTCTGTTTAATACTCAGTTTAAGGGCAGTCGGAGATAACTCATGCTAAAAATCAATGCCTTCTTCTTGAAGCCGGACGAGTTTAAAAAGGTCAATTCCTTGAAAACTGTTCAAGGAATTTATGCGAGACAAAGCGTCTGTAACTACATGTGTTTGCTCCAGAAACGTGTTGTATATCTGAAGTGAACTGCGAAATGTAGTCGAATTGTCCAGACTCTCGAGGTGAATACTTGTCTAAACACAAACGTAGAGAGAAGGTGGAAGGTTTACGACTAGTAAACAGATTGAATTCTCGGTCTTCCACAGTGTTGAAAATGCCGTACAATACAATTCATGGCTAAGAGTTCCCTACCGAATGTGTTATACATCGATCAAGCATCTAGCAACCGTCTGTAGAAAAATACCAAAGGTTGTCTTGTGTGGTTAAACTATTGTTGTAAGGCTCATTCAGTTGCTGAGTTGGGTTCGTCTACTGCGATACAAATGGGTGCTTCGGTGTACTGGTGTAAAGTTCGTGCAGCATATCTTAAACCGAATGGCATGCTCGGAAATTTGTGGAGTCTGAAAGGAGCGATAACCAACCGGCGTGCCCCAACATAATCGAGCATGGAATGTGTTTTAATTCAATCTATTTCCCGCTAACACCCCCCATTTGAGCAGATTCGTAGGATCTGGTGTTAAGGTTCAACTGTAATTGAGTTACTGGCCTGTGTTTTCGATTTGTCCATCTTCCAGGCAATGATGAATGTAACGACCGAACTGCCAGTATTCGGTTTGAAAGCAGGACTGACGAACCAAAATTTACTGGAATATGCCAGACTATGGTCTTCCGTATAGCGTACAGAGCGTTTTTGAGATACTCTTATTAAATTATATAAAAACACAAACTCTGTGCTCAATTTAAACGAGTTCCTCAAAAACGCTTTGTACGTTATACAAAAGAACGTAGTCTGGCTTGTCAGAATAAATTTTAGTCCGTCAGTCTTGCATTCAAGCCGAATACAGGCAGTTTGGTCGTTACAGTTCTCAAACGATACAGCCTGTGCTATACAGTCAAAAGTTTCTCGAACTCAAAGTAGCGCTCTGAGAATTAATAAAAATATTCCCGACAAGATGGAGTCAAATATCTATCCACAGGGATCCCACCAATCCTCCCAAGCAGACAGCCAAAAGGTTATAAGCCACGCACAGAACCACACCGGGACCTTGAGCTTAGTCGAACATGACCTGACTATCAATAGTCCGGCAACATACA